ATATTCAGGGGCTTCAGTTGAGCGCAGACTTAAAACTTTATTTTTCGCATGAACGCCCATTCTTTTAAGGGGGAGGGGTAAGCCATTGGAACACCTCCCACCCCTCCCTTTCCTTTTTGTGCCAACCTATGGAATGAAAATATGTCAAATCATGGAAAGCCAGGTCAGCGTCCAGATGAAATTATCAACCCACAATCATGGCAGATGACAAACTGTTGACAAATAGAATTCATCATGCATTCAACAAGACATCGAGGGGAGCACAACTACGGAAAAAACGGCCAGGAAAAGGAGTCCAAATGCATCACATGCTCGCGGAAACCAACAGGCAGGCAGATACATGGCCTAGTTAATAAGAAAAAGGATGCACACCACCAGGCTACAATTGGAGGGCACAGAAGCTCTCTTCGGACTCTGGAGGGATATGTTAAGGTCAGTCCCCAGTAGTACCATAGGACCTGCAGCGGGCCCTTTACTGTAAACTACTTTTCTGCTCTCTCTCTCTCTTCTCTGCTCTCTGTAAACCAATATAAACCAATTGTTACAGTCTGATCAACTGGCATAGAAGAAAGGAGACCAACTCTGACAGACGGTCAGATGCGGGCTCAATACAGCAGCTTCAGTCACCCACACAGGCACAACATGACATACCTGAGTCCCAGCCATCACCATGTCCTTTCACATAGAAATGCACAAATGCATGCCGGTCTCAAAGAATCCTCTAGAGTCCATACACATCCACACAGCATCACATGCGACAGTAGATTTCAATATTCTACAGCATACTACGTCTTGAAAAAATGCACAAAAGACACTTCATGTCTGTCACTCTCAATATGAACAGTCAGAACAGGCCTGTCAGTAGGTGCTCCAGGAAACAGCCCATCTGTTGCTACCTTTTCGGAAGGTGCTGTTCACAGTTTATCAAGGGCTGGCTGCAAGCATTAATTTTCCGGAATCATGAACTGGTGCAACTGCCTTCCTGGAAGAATGAGCACTCTCTTAATTATCAAGCCCTACTTTATGGCCTCATACCTTGAGGTCGTGGGGAATGTCATTCCTGTGGGCAATGTCTCGGATTCGCGTCAGCGGTACTGAAGCAGTGAAATCTGCAGTGAATGCTGGAAGGCGTGGCTGTACTCTCCGAATGACCGTCAATTCCTGCATGACAAAAAAGGCAAAAACGGTATGCTCAGAGCTCGTTGTGTTTAAAAACATCTGAAAAAAATATATACGTCGTATTATACGACCATTTGAAAGAATTATATACTCAATGCAATTACAAGCTCTTCATAAATAAGAAGTGTTCTTTCGAACTCCAATAATAGCGATTTTATTTGTAATCCATCTAGGAAGATTTTCATGCCTGGCCGGCCCTGCCCGACCGGGCACCCGGGCGTGACACCCAGGAGGGTCTGGCGCCCGGGGTACCCGGGCATGCAAAAGAATTGAAAAAAGAAAAAAAAAGACTTTCTGCCCTCTCCCAGAGGACCCCAAATCCAGGCTCTTTTCATTTTTGAGAGTTGAATCAAGGGAGGAGAAAAAAGGGGCTAAGGGGGTTTAAAGGGGGTGCCTTAGTGTGATTTTGTTATTTTTTTTTATATCTCCGATTCGGTGAGGAATTCTGGTGTGACCCTCAGCCAAAAGTTGTTTGTATTGCAATTCTACACAACACTTTCATTTTTCTCGAATTTTCTGGAATTTTTGTACTTTCGTTTTTTTTTTTTTTTTTTTTTTTTTTTGCGCTGGGGCTGCCCGGAACCCTGCCCGGGTATCATKTCCGGCCGAGCACCCGGGCGTGTATCCGGCCACAAGTTGGGTGCCCGGGCGCCAGGAAAAACAGCCTAGTAAGCCATACAGATATGGCTGACACTGCCTGACAGTCTGAAATACTTTTCACCATGTTCTTTTTGTTCATAATAAGTTAATCACAACTTTATATGTCTCGTTTGTCGTCCTCTTCTCCCTCTCTGCCTATGCCACCCTACGGTCCACCGGGCAGCTCTGTTTGATGATATATGTACAAACTTCAAAACATGGCTAAGAGTCTTAAAGACTCTTCAGACTCAAGGGCTCAATATTTACAGACCCTGTAAACACCTACGTATTCACACAGCCATCTGGAACTCCCTGTACGATAGAGAAGGACAAAAGTGTACTCAGAGCTGATTGCTGAAAATCATCCCAAATGAATAAAGAGGGGAAAAAAAAAAAAAAAGAGGAAAAAAGAAAGAAAAAAGAGTTCCGAAGAATCCAAACCACCACTTTGCACCCCGGTCAAAACGAATACCAGGGTAAATAATATTAGCCGCAACTTTCCAGGTTTGGGGCTACCCAACCAAAATGGCTGGCGCCGCCAGAAAAAAAAAAAGAACCAAAAAAACCATGTGCGTGGCACTGCGTGCCCATTTGGTTTTTCTTTGGCACGCAGCATGATTTGGTCGGGAAGAAGAACAGCCTCAGAAGCAGTGGTGGTTTGAAAAAATCTGAAAAATACACGCGAGCACGCACACCCTAGTAAGATAGCCAGGCTGTATGGAACTTTTGATCCTCAAGCATCACAACTCCTCACTCCTTTTTTGGTCTTTCTTCCTTGAAAAGGCGAAAGCGCTAGGATATTATCATCGATGATCAAGGCAGGCCCTTAAATTGCCCAAATTAACCACCCCAACTGTGGGCCCCCCCACTAGCAGGCCCCACCAGGTCTGCTATGTAAGTCTTGTCTGAGTGGTGTGGATTTTAAAGAAATGTCCTGTGCTCTAAATAACCTGATCTACAGAAAGTCTCAAACCCGCATCCTCCAGGTGCAGCTCGTGGTCGTAGACCTATCGAACTCCCAAAACAGAGCTCACGAATTCTCACCGTAATTTGCCTCATATAAATCTTGATGTTGTTCACAACCTGACTATCCTTATCCTCCTTATAGAGATCAAGCTAACGGGCAAGAGGCTGATAATCAAAGGAGAAGGAGGAGGAGGAGACAAAAGAAGAAGAAGAAGAAGAAGAAGAAGAAGAAGAAGAAGAAGAAGAAGAAGAAGAAGAAGAAAATGATGATATGAGGATGCTGCCACACAACGAACAACAGCAGTGCATGATGGTGGCCATTTTGTGGCTTCCCCAGCTCCAAGCGCAACAAAAGCAAAGAAAAGAAGAAGAAAGATGCAGTCATCATGAATGGGTCCAGAAAGGATAAGCAAGGTGCTAGGGAAGCCCCATCAGGGCACCTGGTGCATAGGTATTTGTATGCGACACACCTGGGACCCAACTGGGTGGCCCGTCCAGCCAGACCACTGAGGACCACATGCAGGTGGGCCATAGCCAATGGGCGACTTCGTTGGTAACACAGCTTTGCAGTACAAAAATCCACATAGGGGATTGCTTCAGGGATCTGGGGAACTATGGTTTGGTTTTGCCTCCCATGAGTCCCATCCCTCTTCAACTGCGGAAACAAAAACAGCTCTTTGAACTTTGAAGGCTCTCTTTTCATTTCTTATCAGACTCAGGGATTCTTTGGCTTCGCTCCACAGCACCCCCTCAACTTCAGTGGAATGCCAAGAACACCCTAACCTTTGGTGAACAATAAACACCACTGAAATGGTAAAGAAAAGCAACACCCACACCAATAGGGCTGTCGGATCGTCCCATTTGTAGGTTGGTTGTTACCACAACATCAGCAGGCAATGATGTTCACAGGATTTTGGTGGAAGCAAATAATTAGCTGTGAAAAGGGGTGCTGAGGGCCCTACCTCATTGACAACTAACGGTAGTATCCCGTGGGGGATCTAGCAGTAGAAGTTCTGAAGTAGCATAGGGCTGATTGTTGTCATATTATATCTACAAAAACAGCAATCTCTGGGACCAGCTTTGGGCTCACGACACCAACCAGCCAAATGTTACTTAGAAGTTTAGAACTTAAGAGCATTGCCGCACGGGACACGACACGAAAAACGAAACGAGTGCATCGTCCTGCAGAAAATGGCCAAGTTCCTCGGTTTGCTATAAATAGTAACGAGTGTATTTTGCCACCTTTCGTGGGCAGATGCACTCGTTTCGCTTTCGTTTCGTGTGCCGTGCAGCGAGACCCTTATACTGGTGGATCCCCCACGCGGTACTACCATTAGTTGCCAGAGGGGAGGCACCACGTCGTCCCAAAGGAGGTGCAAAGGGACGTGGGCAGTCCACGTCACTTGGAAGCAGACATGGACAGCCCCACCAGTCCATGCCCAAACTGATCCTCGGACAGCCTGGGCGTAAAGCGAGAGACGGTTAACGGGGGCCCAAATATTTGCCGTTTTCGTTGGCAATTGCGGTGTGAATTTCATCAAAAATTTTAAAAACAAACAATATGAGACCATAGTGCAAACATCAAAAAAGGAAACAGGCCAAAAAAAACTTAAAAAAAAAAAAAAACACTATGAAACCCTAACACAAAGACACTGTCCGAGTCAAAATGAAGCATCCAACGAATCCAACAAAATGCCAACTTTTTCATTATTGATCCAAACATGTCAAAACTGCACACATGACGTACCCTAAAGCACATATATATCACGAGTCAAAGTGAAGCGTCCAACAAATCCAACAAAATGCCAACTTTTTCATTATTGATCCAAACATGTCAAAACTGCACACATGACGTACCCTAAAGCACATATATATCACACAAAAAGAAAAACAAGAAAAAAAGCAAAAAATCAGCACAATATGACAGTTTCAGTGCAATACGGTGCAGAATTCATCGAAAATAACACCCCTGGTTAACCACAACCATGTCTAGATTCATCTTGTCATCAATTTGCAACGCCCACATCAGCCTTGTGTACAGGAAACTGGGAGCATCCAAATTTAAACACTAGAAGCATTGTCCCACAGTGCTACTCCTCGGGGATGGGAAAATTGGGGACTATTAGGATGACATGGATGCCCCCAGGCAACAGCAATTTTGAAGATGCCCCTGCCATCACCACGCCATCGTCATCATCTTCTTTTTTTTTTTTTTTAGAAAGGGCTATGGCCTTGAGATATCATCTTCAAACTGACCAGCCCCAGGTAAATCCAGAGTTATTTATTCACCTGAGGTCATTGGGATTCGAACTCACGTCTGTATTTCAACAGTCCATGAGTGTACCATCTGAGCTAGGCCCGTTGGTATCTTCTTCTTCTTGGTCTCTTATGTGATGGAAATCTCCCATACCATCTGAGGTAGGCCTGTTAGTATCTTCTTCTTCTTGGTCTCTTATGTGATGGAAATCTCCCAAACAAAAGAAAAAATAAAATTAAAAAGTGAAAAAGTACCATCATCTCATCATCATCATCATCATCATCATGACGATTCTGTCCCTTCACCCCCAAAGTACTCGGAAATCGCAGGAAGATGCAGTTTCACTCACTGTGGTCGTGGCAAGCATAGATTCATCCCTTCTTTTACCTGCCCAGTTTTTCAAGACTTCCCAAACTTAAGTTCAACCAGAACATCTCACATGGGCCAGCCAATCTATGATTAATTCGCACAAAAAATTGTACAGCATATGCTTTCGGTTTTGGAGAGGGAGAGTACATACCTGAGGCGTCACCCCTTTTTGGCCAATATATGACTCCAATTTTCTGAAGATTTGACGAGACAGCTCAGCATGCCGATTGGGTCTGCGGTGACCTCCGTCTTCCACACATGCAATTGCACCCGTATTTATCCACTGATCAGACAGGATCACATCAGAATGATTATGCGCGTAAGTCACAACAAGCTTAAGAGAAAGACTGATCGACCCTTCACTAGAGACACACCTGACCACTCCGTACTCAAGCGCAGACTTTCCCCTCATTCAAAGTCAGACAGAGGCATGAACAAGTGGAGAAGTGAAGACCAGTCACGTCAACTTCACCTAGTGACCCCACCACAAAGACACCCCTGATCACTCAATTTTACAAATCAAGTGCAGACTTGCGTTCATTCAAGCCAGACAGAGGCGTGAACCGGTGAAGAAGTGAAGGCCAGTCACTTCAATTTCATGTGGTTTTTAACTAAGCCGAACAGAGGCGTTAACCGGTGAAGAAGTGAAGGCCAGTCGCTTCAATTTCATGTGGTTTTTAACTACCCGTTTTCTTTTCCTGTGCCAGTGGTTCCTTCTTCCAACCCAATGAACGTGACTGCTGTCGCCAACCCAAAATTTATCCAAAAGCTGGACACAGGAAAGCAAAAAAGCATACTTGCGGTGCATGCCGTGCTCGCGCGCGCACGGCATGCAGCGCATCAGCCAAAACAGGGGTCGTGGAAAAAAAAAAAAAAGTTTGGGGGGGGGKGGGAGGCCCGGAGTGGCCATGGGCACGAAAAAAAAAATTTGGGCCACGCGGAGGCCCGGTAAAAATTTTCGGGGGAGATCTGAGTAGTTTGTTTTCGAACTACTCAGGCCTCCCCCACGCCGCCGTTGGGCACCCCGGCACTTCACCGACCCGCCAGTTGTGCCTTGTCTCCTTGGCGGCCGTCGTGTCGTCGTTCGTCGTTGGTCGTGCCCGTCCGTCACCAGCAGCACCAGCCCGAGCAAGAAACAGGAGGCAGCAGCAGGCAGCAGCACACAGCAGGAGGCAGCTGGAGCAGGCAGCGGGAGCGAGGAGGAATCACCGAGCCGCTTGAGGTGAGTTGCCACCAGCTCTCTCTCTCTCTCTCTCTCTCTCTCTCTCTCTCTCTCTCTCTCTCTCTCTCTCTCNCTCTCTCTCTCTCTCTCTCTCTCTCTCTCTCTCTCTCTCTCTCTCTCTCTCTCTCTCTCTCTCTCTCTCTTTGCTCTTCCCTTCTCCTCCTGTCTCTGTCCTTTGAACACTTCACCATCCAATTACCTTTTTTTTTTTTTTTGCCCTTGTTACGTTAGCGACAGGGCACTCGACTCACTGCCCCCTCTTTCCTCCTTCCTTTCTCCCTCCTCCTTCCTCCCTTTCTCCCTCCTCCTCTCTCCCTTCTTCCTCATCCATCTTTCCCTCCTCCTCCCTCCCTCCTCCTCCCTCCCTCCTCCTCCCACCTCCTCTCCCCTCTTTTGTCGTCTATCTGTACCTCTCTCCTTCCTCACTTTCTCCCTCCTCCACGCAGCACCTCACTTCTCCCTCCTTTTTCCTCCTCCCTTTCTCCCTCCTCCTTCCTCCCTTCTTCGTCCATCTCCCTTTCTCCCTCCTTTCTCCCTTCTTCTTCATCCATCTGTCCCTCCTCCTTCCTCCCTCTCTCTCCATCCATCTGTCCTTCGAACACTTCACCATCCAATCCCCTTTTTTTTTTTTTGCCCTTGTTACGTTAGCGACAGGGCCTTTCACTCCACGCGACACCTCCACCCCCCCCATCGTGCACGCGTCGACTGACTCGACTCGCTGCCCCCTCTTTCCTCCTTTTCTCCCTCCCGCTTCCTCCTTTTCTCCCTCCTTTCTGCCTCCTTCCTCCCTTTCTCCCTCCTCCATGCAGCACCTCACTTCTCCCGCCTCTCTTGTCCTCTCTTTCTCCCTCCACATGTCAACTCGGTGCTCCCTCTTTACTCCTCCCTTTCATTCTCCCTCCTCCTTCCTCCCTTCTTCTTCATCCATCTCTCCCTCCTCCCTTTCTCCCTCCTTTCTCCCTTCATCCATCTGTCCCTCCTTCCTCCCTCTCTCTCCATCCATCTCTCCTTCTTCTAGTTGCCATCCGTTCCAAATTACAATCTCAATTTGGCATTTGCAGTTTTTTTTTTCCCTACTCCTTTCGGAATGTTGTTGCCACAATTCGATTTGCTCGTGGCTGCCCGCTGGAGTGTTGCAGAGCCGAGGGGGATTAGAGGAGAGAGAGTGGTAGTGGTGGATCTGGACGAGGGGAGAGGGTTTTCCTTCGAGGGGCTGACCACCATTTTCTGTTGTGGCCTTCTCGGTGATGCAGGTGACAGCGGCGGCCGCTCTGCCGAAGCAGCTCATTGACGATATGAAGAGAGAGAGAGAGATGACAAGGAGGGAGGGCTGGCCGCCATTTTTGTTTGTTGAAATTTCTAAGAATGTTTAAATTGAGAGAGAGAGAGAGAGAGAGAAGTTTAAACATGG